CTGGGCGAGGGCAGGCAGAGGTGCTGGTGGGCTCGGGCTCACCCTGTCCCCAGCCCCGCTGCCCTGGCCGCAGTGCCGGGATTGCACCTGTAGGCGGCCTCCGAGCTGCTTTCTGGGTGGCAAGAGATGAGCCTGGAAAGGACCATCTATCTCACCGCCATCGCCCGGCAGCACCACTTGGCTTCTCTGGGGTGGCAGTGGAAACTCAGGCTATTTTCCACCCCGAGGCGAGCCTCCGGTCATTGTCAAGGTCAAAGGAAACCTGCGGGCTGGCGGAAGCCTCTCTCACCCCTCTTCCAGAGGACCCGCTGCTGTGTTTGAGGGGACCTCTTTAAGGAAGAGAATGGTGTCCACCGAAGGATGGACAAAGTTTTGGCCCTTGTATTACAGAAAAGGCGTGACTATTTGGGGACCGGATCCTGGCTCCAGCCCTCCGGAGCTCTGTGGCGTAATGGGCTGCAGTGGGTCAAGGGAAAATAGTTTCCAGTATGCTGAGTTATGAGAGTATAAAAGGGTGGGTAATTTGTGGTTATTATTTAATGGGTGTCTCAATATGGACAGTAATATTCACACAGGGGAATAAAATATGGTAACTGACCTTTTTACACTGATTCAAAGCCAGCAAGGATGGTTTAGAATATTAGCATTTCAGCAGCTCAAGAACACTGAAGAAAGGCACCTTCTTAATGGTAATGTATCCCATCTAATGCTCATTGGTGAGAGAATTAATCCATATTTTCAAAGAGGTATCTGTTAGAGCAGAACAAGCTTGGCATTGGCATAGGCAGTGGCAAACTGGGCATTTTGTCTTCATGTTCCCCGGGCCTCATTTTCCCCATTTATCCTAAATGCAAGGCCTCCAGTTGCCAACTGTGTTCCTATATAGACTTGTCTTTTTTAAAAAATATTTTTATTGATTTCAGAGAGGAAGGGAGAGGAAGAGAGAGATAGAAGCATCAATGATGACAGGGAATCATTGATTGGCTGCCTCCTGCACGTCCCCTTCTGGGGATTGAGCCCAAACCCGGGCATGTGCCCTTGACTGGAATCGAACCTGGGACCCTTCAGTCCGCAGGCCAACGCTCTATGCACTGAGCCAAACCTGCTAGGGCTATACAGACTTTTCTTACCAGTTTCTATAAACTAATCTCCCCCACCTCCTATCTGCCCCCTCCTCACCTCTACTCCCCAAAAGCAAAGTGCTGGTGCTGGAAAAAGCACAATTTATGAAGGCTGATGAGGTACTAAAATACACATCTCTTGTAGTTCCCATTACCCAAACCTGTTCAAATTCTATACCC